CATTAGCAAATCTTCCATTGTCCAGGAGCAGTTGGCTCTATAATTAAAAGTAACATGTATAAAACTACACATACTTTTTATAGTGTTTTAGCCAGACAGATTAGAAAGGAAAGTTGGTCAGGGAGGCAAACATGGACACAGTGATCACACAAAGAGGTTTAGAAAGTCCTCTGCAAAAATGGGAGAATGTGCCCAATGGAAAACCCTTTCAGTTTTCAGGAAGCAACTTTTAGAGAAGAAAAGTCAAGTTTTCCAGATACATTTTCAGGTCACAGCACACAAGAACAAAGATGTAATGACTCAAAAACAGAACTATTTGAGCAAAACATCAAGAGCTATGATCAATTTACACCAGGCAATGATTATCATGTGGCCAATACAGTCCAGACAGTGAAGCATGATGGTATTTGCAATTTGTTTTGGTGGAGATCTGAAATAGTAAGGGAAGGATAAACACTGCCAAATGCAGATACTTGAAGAAAACCTTATTCAAAGTACATGCCAACTGAAATTGGTCTGATGATAACCATACAGCCAAAAAAAATACTGGAATGGAACATGTCTCTGACTGTTAATGAGTGGTCCAGCTAAAGCCTCCATTTAAAGCACATACAATCTGTGAAGAAGCCTGAAGACAGCACTTTACAGACAAATCTTCTTATCCAGGCTTCAAAAGACTTAAAGCATTAAGAGCCTGAATACTTTAAAAAATGACATATCAGATTGTTACAAATTAGGAAAGAGAATAAATAGAAAAACACTTTTTAATATTTTTATTATAAATTTATACGTTGTTGGGAAACTTTTAATTTTTCATTGAAAAATTACATTTGCAAAACTGTAAAGTGTGCAAAAAGTAGAAGTGTCCGAATAGTTTCTGAAGTGGCACTGCACTACCACCTTAACTTAATTATCTCATGTACCCTGCATTGTACTGTTTCTTCACACTGGTCCAAGATCCCCACTCAAGGCTTCAGTAGGGATCCACAAAGGAAGCAGTATGTTTACCTGCAAGCTCAGTTCCCTGATGTGAAACTGGAGAAAATTGTCCTAGTGTCCTTCCACTCTGGATACATCTTCATCCAGACGGACAAGACTCTCTACACACCCAACAGCAAAGGTAAGTTCAATACACAATGATAAAATGCTTCTGTATTTTTAGACATTCTGAATTTAAAGAGGAATTTCATGATAGAAAGAAAGTTGTTTAGTCTTAGCTCTTTATGTTGGATTGTCTTATTATTGTTTTGTTCAAACAGTAATTTATGATAAAAGAAAGAGATCATTATTCAGCTTCTCCTTTATACCTTGAAAAAGGAAAATCTTAAATCCTGCTCTGCATGCTTGTATCCTGGATACAGAAACAAGAAAAGAATATAAAGAGGTCTAAGTAGAGCTCAATAGATAAATGAAGGTCTGTTGAAAATAGCGGAAGTCTTTCTTCAATACAAAGCATGCGGGATTTTCTGAGTATTATCTGAGAAATATACCATATATCTAGTTTTCAAACCAGGCCAGTCTGTATTTATACTATTAAAAAATTAAGGAGAGGACTCTCCCTGAGACGTAACAGATACCGATGGTTTTAATGTAACTGTGCTGAAAAACACTGTGGCATGTTGGGAAATGTGGCATATTACAATGCTACATAACATGCGTTGTCACATATGAGACACACAACAACACAAATCTCTATCCTAATGAGGACATAAACAAAGTCTTTCTTTCATTCTTAAGTATTAACACAAAACCTACAGCAAAGTTTAAAATCAGACCAAAGAGCATCATACAATCATTCTAGTGTAGGAAAAAAATCTCATATCATGTCTCTGAAGCTTTGTGTTTCATTTTGAGTTTAAGGAAATTGTGTTTTAAAATATATGTATATGTTATGTTGATATAGCTGTTGTTCCTGCCAATGATGCGCTGTTGCTTTGACTTATAGTTCTAGTGGCGAAAAAAAGATGTTCCACTGGAAGTGAAGTTAAATGCAGGGTTACCGATACCCTTGGAAGCACAGCATCACTCTGTTTAAATGCGGAATGAAAGAGCACACCTTTATGTTTTACTTAGAGTTACAACTAAACCTGAAAATCTGGCGCCTCCCTTTGGCTCCCACAGCAAACTACAATGTGTACAATCAACCCCCTTTGTAGTGTTGGGGATTTCTAAAAGCATTTTTTTTTTTTACTTTATTGCAATATCAAATTACTTGCTCTACTTGTTACTAGTGCTGTGTAATACTGCAGATTTTGTTAGTGGTCTGATAAAATAAATACAGGGCCTGTATTGCCAATACTGATAACCAATACTTTTAATATAAAGGCAATTTATGTAGGGAAGGGCAGTTTGTCATTTTGTATGAGATGAATCATCGTCAGTTTACAAATTCTTAACACATTTTAATGACCACTAAATCACTGTGATTTTTAACACACACACACACACACACACACACACTTTTCAACTTGTCATGTTTTTTTGTTTGTTTTTTTGGAGACCTCTATTGTAACTGCGCTTGTCTCTAACGGACTTTTTAGGTCAATTTCAGGTGCTGAAATGTGCTATAGGCTATAAATAAAAGAAATTGAAGAGTCAGAACACACATATTTGAGGCATATTTTTTCATTTTCAAAAAATATTTAATCTAACGCGATTCAGTGAGCTACATATAGAACTTAGAAGATAGAAACAAAGTGTTGATCCTATCATGCTAGTATCAATCCAATGCCAATACCAGTGATATTCAATTGATATTTAAAATGATCTGCCCACCTTTAATTTTTACTTCACTTTA